TAATTGTTATAGTTATTTTTATAATCTGAATGTTATTTTTTTTTTCTTTGTCTAACAATCCTTCAATAAATCACATTTTATTTATTTTCTACTTAGTTTTACTTACCTGATTCCCTACAATGATTGTGATTCACTAACTTTTCAATGAGAGAGCCTGCCAAGGTTCAGGTTTCATCAGAGTATAATAAAGTTCACCAAGATCCTTGATTAAACGCGGCATTAGGCTATGGTAAGAGCTATGATAAGGATTTATCATTAATCTGGTGTTTTATCAAAGATGACACTTTTTCCGCCATGCTGCATGACAACTTCCGCCAACAACCTGGTTAACTTTCACTGAAGAGATAAAGACACTCGTCCTCGCTTTTCCATGCCTATTTCCCCAGGCCTTACGATACAAAATTATATATTGTAACTAATTTACCACATTTTGTACTTAACTTCAATCTCCTGTTGCTGTAGAGTCTCGTATAAAAGAACGAATCTCGGGGGGAAAACCCTCAAAGACTGAGCAAGCAGGACGTTAATTGTTTGTCGGTGTCGGAGCCTCACCTGTGCGCCGTTTTCTTCGCGGTTCACCTGTTGTATCGTAAGAGGTAGTTTAATTAAGGATTAAATAAGCAGTTATGGTTGTTGGTTCACTACGCGCTTCTCCCAGCTCTCGGACAGATTGAGATATGCTTAGAAGTAAATGATAAGCCAGTTCTAGTAGTTCGGTAGAGGAAAGGTGTTTTACGTAGGGAACACTGAAAAAATAATCTCTCTCTCTCTCTCTCTCTCTCTCTCTCTCTCTCTCTCTCTCTGAGACACAATGGCTCAGATTAAAAAGGGGGGTCATGCGCATTAAAGATACAAAGACAAAAGGCTATTCACATTAATTTTAGGGGAATGATGTCATGCTTATTTGATATCAAATTGGAGTTCAATGTATAGACGCTGATGTCTGTTAATTTTGATGCTGAAGATGCTCTGGTATTTCTTTGAACTGTTGATTTGGATAAGAGAAAAAAAAAAACGTGAGAGAGAGATAGAGATAGAGATAGAGATAGATAGATAGATAGATAAAGAGAGAGAGAGAAAAGGCGATTATTGTTGCTGTCCAGAGATGACTGCAAATATTTTTACTGGAATTGTAGTTGCTGAGCAAACTACTGCATCATTTGTTCTATTTTCTGTAGCAACATTTGCAGCAGGTCTTTGCTTGAGATTGAGGTTTGTGCTGAGGCTGAAACTACTGGTACTGAAACAGGCGCTGAAATCGATGCCGATGTTGAAGCACGTGCTGAAGCTGGCATTGAAGGTACTGAAGCAGACACTGAAGCTAGCGCTGAAGCAGGTGCTGAAGCTGACAGTAAGGCTGGAGGCACCGTCTACGCTGGTGCAGTATGCCTGCCAAGTTAGGGATTTGTTTAATCTCTAAGACGAGGAGGTGAAATGGAGTTCGGATAATATGCGCGTGATGCAGAATTTGCATTAGGCTTATCTTTGAATACGTTTCCTAGGGAGATAATTACCCGTTGATATATATTCGGCGCACTCACTGCTCATGTAAGCAGCCGCGCAGTAACGGCAGCGCGTGCCCCGTGCCCCATCGCGAACAGCTGGCGCAGAATGGGGGCAAGTCATTTGATGACGACACACTTGAAAAGTGCCTTCCCCTTGACAAGTTTGACGGTTTGGGGGATTTCCTCTCCTTCATATGTGGTGATAAGTCGCAGTATCATCCTATTATCATTTTGAATCCACTTGCAGCGCGTAGAATATTCTCATTGCAGTCTGTGTCAGTTTTCCTCGGGGCAGCAAACACGATGAGGATGATACACCGCTCTTTTTCGTAAACTTTGCTCTTTTCAATGATTTCTCCTGCCACTCCGGTAGTAGGTGCGGGTGTAAGATTTGTTTCTCTCTCTCAGTCTCACACTCACACACACACATACACATACACATACACATACACATACACACACACACACACACACACACACTCACACACACACGCACGCACACGCACACACACACACACACCGTGCACAAATATTTCGACCTAGTTTGAATTCTAGGGCTCCTTTAGCTTTGTTAACAGAGGCCATCTGGAGGACTCGAGACACCCAACGGTACATGTCTACATGGTTGAGTGGTAAAAACTTTAGCAGACTTGTTAGTTAATCCTTTTTTTTTTATTTTTTATTTTTAAGTCGTTGTCCATATTTGCGTCATTTTCTGAGATGTCCGTCTTGGTCAAAACGAAGAAAATTTTGACTGAGGATGTGGTAAGGATAGAGATCGCGAATATATCACGTGCGCACTATTCCTTTATCGGGTCAATTCGTCAGTTCGGTTTTCACTTACAATGTCAGTCACTTTTGATCTTCACAGATATCGTACTGAATTTGCTCGTGCCTTCGTTCACTATACATAAAATAGTCTTTTTAGGCAACATCTAGGTCACAGCAGGTCACAGGGGGGGGGGGGGGGGGAGGGAAAGAGATAGATAGATAGATACATAGAGAGAGAGAGAGAGAGAGAGACAAAGAGAGAAGTCTGAAGAGAGACGGGAAAGCATACAGGGAAACGGCGAGTACACGGCAACCCACCTGCCAAGACTTCGTACCCACAGACCCCCACGTGTGCTAGTCTGGGACCTTGAGCCACAAAGAACAAACTGACTTGGTTGTAAACATAATCAGTAATATGAAAGTAAGCAGTGACTTTGCAGATAATCTCTGTCGGCATAGAAAAAGTCACAAACAGATATTATTTTCCCCCTCTGTTTTTGAACATGTGATAATGTACGAATATAGAGATTACATTCATTGTCAATGCATTATTACACCGTATATTTATGTCCTACCAATGTAAAAAAAAAATAATAAAAAAAAAATAAAGAGTTTACCTAGTAGAAAGAATAGATGTCGAGGTGTTCGTATAATTCACAGTCGGATTCGATCTCTCTACGAATGGGGTACAAAACCGATGAACGCGGCTACACGGCTTTCTGTAGCTTGAATGATGTTCATTTGCATACCCGTATTGTGGGGCGGGGGATAACAACGATATCTTGTCACATATTTCATTCTATCACATGCCGCGAGAGAGCAAAGGCCAGTATCACCCGTGTCGGCAAATGAATCGGCAAACTATTCATGGCATTTATCTGTTCTGTTACACTCACGAGGCAGTTTGTGTAAGTGGCTTCGCAGGATCGAATCTGACCGTGGATTATATAAACAGCTGATCTTCGATTGCCACCATTGGTTCAGGAAATTAAACAAAGCCACTTCGATGATTGAAGTAAGAAGCCGCCTTAATTACCTCACAATACACACACACACACACACACACTTCTCTCTCTCTCTCTCTCTCTCACACACACACACACACACACACTTCTCTCTCTCTCTCTCTCTCTCACACACACACACATATATAAATATATGCGTCTGTTAGAGACGTTCATAATCAATTATCTTGTAGCAAATAAATCAAGTATCTATATCGAATTCAGCCTCCGAACCCAATGATTACATTATTCCGTTCGATTATATAACCTTAAAGGAAAAGTCACCCAATATGATCAACAGCAAATACAAATATCGCCACACATTGCAAAGCCCGACCGATAAGATACAAAGAATAGCTGTTGCCTGTGGTGGTTAGATGTCACATTATCATTAGCAGTGTCATGCTCTATCAAATGCTTGGCTTCAGGGTTAGTATTATGTTCAACAATCTGTTCATTCGCGTTGTTGAGCTTTTTTTAACCCTTAAGCATGAAGGCAGCTTCGATTAAACTGCTAGGAAATTCCAGTGAGACAAATGATTTTACATGTTTAAGTCCATTTTGAAAGACACTGTAATTTTACGAGGGTGAAATTGATGGCAATATCATTTTACATTGTTGATGAGTTTCGTGTTTCGTAGTTTTGATCAGGGTAGTGTTGAAATACCCTCAGTCGATTACTCAGTCTTTACCTTATCCTCTGTTCTTTGTCTTCTTCATTTTCTTCTCTTTTACTCTTCTTTTTCTTCCTCTCCCTCCTCTACATTCCTGTCTCACTCTGCTTTTGCCTCTCCCTCATCCACACATCTCTCACTCTTCGTCTTTCTCTCTCTTCTCTCCTTCCCTCTTTCTTCTTTTTTTTTTTACCCAATTTCTCTTCATTTCTCTCTCATTCTTCTTCTTTCCCTCCCTCCTCTACGTTTCTCCCCAACCCCCATTTCCCCCCTTCTTCTCCTCCCACTACATCTCTCTCTCACCTTTCTTTTATTCTCCCCTCTCTCCTCCATCTCTCATTCACCCACTCTCTCTCTCTCTGTCTCTCCCTCCCACCCCCCATCCTCTTTCTCTCTCTCCCCTCCCCCCACCCTCTTTCTCTCTCTCTCTCTCTCTCCCCTCCCCTCTCTCTCTTTTCCTGTCCCTATCCCCCCTCCCTCCCCCGCTCTCTCTCTCCCTGGAAGTCACGGAATCTAATCTCAGCCCTCCCGACGAACCAGGTCAAGGGATAATCAATGTAAGGAGAAAAGTGTCACAACAACGAATTCTTATTACCTGCTCGGATCCCGATGACCGTGGATGCTGGCTGGGAGATAAAGACAGCAGTAGAGGGGGATAAAAGGTGAGGGGGAAAGAGAAATGGAGATTAGAAGAGAAGGGAAGAAATGAGGTGAGAAGAGAAGAGAGGAGAAGAGAGGAGAAGAGAAGGGAAGAGATGGGATGAGAGAAGAAGAGAAGAGGGAAAAAAGATAAGGGAAGGGAAGAGGAAGAGCAAGAGAGAGGGAGGAGAGGAGGAAGGGAAGGAGGGAAGATGGAAGGGATAGAAAGATGGAGATAGACATATATATATATATATATATATATATATATATATATATATATATATATATATACATATATATATATATATAGAGAGAGAGAGAGAGAGAGAGAGAGAGAGAGAGACGGAGCCAGAGTTCCCTCCTTATATAATAAAACATAGCCCCTCGCATTAGGTCCAAGGCAA